TACAGTACAGTATAACCTAATATAATCCTGTATCGTTTTGGAAATGGCATGATGCATGTTAAAGGTGATTTTTTCGTGTTTGTTAGTTCACTCAAGTTAAAAAAAATTTACTGAGTTTGTTTGCTAGCTTGATCCAGGACCTGGTACCTGTTGCCTGTTTTTTCTGCTGCAGAGTAGGAATGCAAGATGCTGTGTTGTTGATCTTTAAGGGATTTCTTTTCTGTTATTAACAGCATATTAGGAATTGATGATGACGTATTTGAAAATTTGTGTTTATTTGTCAATCAAATACAGATTCATGATATTCCACAAAAAGAATGTTTTAAATACTAGCACATTCATCCAATAAAATTAAACTTGAATACAAATCTCCTCTATTCAGATCAGAATTTCATTATATATTTTTGTTGCTTTTTGATTTAATATATATTTTGTTGTTTTTTGGATTCATCGTTAGATATTGTCTAACATGTGCTCCTAAGTGTTATCCAATAATACTGTATTGCATTGTATAGTGTAGCAATTTTATGAAGGCTAGACTTCGGCAGAAAATGCTTTTCCAGGACACCTATGAATAATAATATATATTCATGTAGAGCATTCTCTTGTAACCCCATTATATGTTAAAGTACAACAGAAGGGTGAATCTTCCAATTTAAAATTATGCATATATGTATTCCTCTGAAGTGATCCAAAAGATTAGGAACATGATACTATGGCAACAAATGATGGACAATAATTATATAAACCACTTGATGTGTGAAGAGTAGTGTTGATGTAAAACGAATGGTCAGTGATTACAAATAGTAGGATTATATTGTACTGTAATGTTCTAGTTCTGTGGAGATTTTAAACCATGATGTACTGTACCACTGCCAGTCCGATCTATTGAAAGATGTTTTGAAATTAATCCGTCGACGAGTCTTCTCAGTTTTTGTGTTCATGTCTTCAAATAAAGTAGTTTTGTTTTTATGGGGCTTCTAAATTACTATGTGTGCTTAATAAGTGAATAATGTTCTGCCCCTATGGAATACTATCATTGTATGCATGGTTGAATGCTCACTAAATCCGTGTTTGGATTTACAATGGATTAATTTTGACCAAGATGAAAATTAATTTTAACTTAGCTTAATCGTGTTGCCGTTCACACTTGGATTTAGTAACTATACTTTAAAAAAAGGTTTTATTATTAAGACCCTTTTTAAATAACTATTCAATATGCATAAATAGCCATTGTGTGCATTTGATATAGCAGGTCAATATGGACGCACACAATGTGCTATGAAATTTTGTGCTATACAATACTAGTGCTCAAGGAAATTTAACCAAGTCACGTTGTTTGCAATGACGTGTTTTTGAGAAACAACCTGGTTTTTCTTCCTACAGTAGGCACTGATTCACTTGGTTACATGTAGGGCATGGATAGGGTAATCTTAAGACGGGCACTCATCGTGTGGTACGACGGTCAGTCAACAAATCACCCCTCATTGAGTGCTAGAGGATGTGACACCATATGTTGATTGTCAGTGGCAATCTGAACAGAACCCTCATTAAAAATGGTCCCTTGTGCACGCGTCGTGGTGCTGCGTTCTTCATAGAATTGTTGGCCAACGATGGTCGGGCTCAGTGAGTGCCCAGTTTTATGAAGGAAAATGTTAATAAAGCTGTTCCCTTCCCAGTATTCTTTTTTGTTAACTATGGGCCCGTTTATATTACACTCTGAACACGGATTGACGAACACGGCTTCTCTGATGTGTGTAGTATAAACGGTCTGGATTACGTGTGATTACAATACCATCTGGACAAAAGGCTACTTGGCGAACTCGCCAAACTTGCCGTGTTGGAAGTACCAACTTGTAGCCTCCAGGCATAAGTTTGACCTTTCTTGAAACAGTGGGTGGTAATTCAATAGCTTTCTTGCTGTTGACAGGCGCTAACAAGATGGGATGGGCTTTTATAATAGGCCTACAACCAGAATGATATAAGAAAATAATTATTGTTAATAAGGCCGTTATTAAGCAATAATTTTATATCTTAATTTACTACTGAGAAGGCATAGTATATACCTTTCACGAAAAGAGTCTTTTCCGAGGCTTTCTTATCCGCCGAAATCATCATACGCGCCGGAGTGCTGCCAGTCTACCTACA